ATCGGAACGGGATTTATTATTAATATTCAGAGTCGCCACTTGGGAGAGTAATGGTGTCCCAAGTCACCGATTGAATCCCGAACCGAGGAAATTATGACTCTGTTAACAGTCCGCGAACCAGAAATCCGGATAAGGAGTTCTGTTAATCCGGGAGAAGGTGTTAAGCACTCCCAGGTTCCGTGGTTCCAGCACGGTCGCTCAACTGTTGTATTTGATTTTATCTGATTTTTAAAACATGTTCTAACCTATGTGCTTTAATAATAAACCGCTTTTATTTTTATTTTTTTAAGAATTGCAACGTCGTGAAAATGCGCCTCGAACCACGTCGCACCAGTGCACCCGTGATTGTTAACACATTTCGACTTCGTTGAGATTTGGATTTGGGTCACATAAATGTGCACCCACTTTTAGGAAGGTAAAATTATTTAAAATCGCGTGCCTAAAGAGACTATCGCGTTATTGTCTTTGGGGAAGGCCGTGAAATTCGCTAAACGGCCCATCCCGAAGTCTAAGTATTTTAGTATAAACATTTGTCGAGGGCCCCGCAATTTATTTGTTTTGTTTAGCGAGGCTCATCTCGTTTTATTTTAAAAGGACAAACCTAAAGTGACTATGATTTTCTATTTTTTACTTGTCTCTAAAAATATAGAAAAGTCCTACTTGGTTAATATCATTGGCCTAATGCAAACAAATGATGATTTAAATTAAACATGCCCTTAGGCTCCAAGAGAGGCCCAAAGAGTAAGAATAGCTAGCCAGCCTATAACCAAAATCAGCCATTTGTAGGCTTTGGCCCAGGCCCAAACGTACAACACTCAAACAGGACCTGGGCCACTCAGTAAGGCAGTGAGACCCAAATCGACAAAGCTGGGCCATTAAGCTTTGATTCTATCAGCAAAACTCAACCAAATAGAAATTCAAATGACCTTATTGGCTAAACTTATTTTTAGTATTCCAATTATACTCTGATCTTAGAATAGCGGAAAAAAAACAGTGGCTAATCAATGGCTATAACATTTGAAGAACTTAATGAGTTAATCAAGCAGTAGCTAATTTATTGATGTTAACATACATTTAATAGATCTGGATTCCACGTAGCATAGCCTATATTCTGTTTTACAGCCCAGTTCAGATTGAATATGAATCCAAAATATACTATTCTAATAATACGAACTAACACAAGTTAAAAACAAACTACTAACTAGGAGATCTACGTAGGAATGCCTTTAATGGTTTAACAATTCAAATCGTTACTTATATAAATATTCACAATAGACAATATACACATGAGCTTAAATTTGATGAGCAATTTCCAATTTGTCTTCAACTCAGAGTCACATCGAGGTGTTTCAACGAAGTGTACCTGGAAGTAGGAAACAATGGAGAAGAAGACAGGATCAGCAGCAATCAGCGGTTGATCACAAATAGCCCAAATAAGATCAGGCAGTCCAGAAATGTTAAACCAAACAGAGCTAACAAAGCAGCAAATCAACCAAAAATGAATACTGATGCACAAACAGCCAGCAAAACACCCAAACTAGATTCAAAACACCAATTTTAACTCGAAATCACCCAAAATAACTCAAAACTGAACTTAAAACCCTTCTGAAAGTCTTCTTGGTGTAAAGCTCAATTAAACCCTTCTGAAATTCAACAAGCAAAGCTAGCATCTACAGAATGCGAATCCACAACCAAAAGCTGAAATCAATTTCCAATTTCAATGGAACAGTACTTTTCTTTTTTGATTTTTAGTTTTTTTTTGTTTGTTTTTGGTTTTGAAATTTGAATTTTCTACTTCAGATTTGAAAAACTAAAGAGAAAGAGTGTTTTGGGGAAACTAGATGGCTGGAAAAAAAAACTGCTTCATCAAGGCAATTCTGATGCCTTTATAGGCAGCCAAAAATAAGCATCAGATTTCTGTTTCTCTTTTAGCCCCTCTTAATTTTCAATTTTTACCCCTTATTTATTGACTTGTGACTCAAGTTAATGCCTCAAATTTCCTAAAACTCCACTCATGCCCCTATCTAGTAAGATCTAGGGAGTTCTAGCACTATTATCCAATTCTAAATACCCAAGTTGCCCCTGACTATCCTTGAAATTACCTCTCTGCTTAAATGTCCCAAACCCCTTGTTACCTAAGGTCTGATTTATTCAGCTATCAGCTAAACCAATTCTTAACAATTACTTAAAACAAAACTGGAGAACATCATGCATCAAAAGAAACAAATCAATTGCTAAACTAACTAACACAATCAACTAATTACATGTTATTGAATAGCTACTAACAACTACTGACTTATTATACTGAATCAATTGTTAACGACCTAATGAAACCCTAATCGAATTACCACTGTTATTATCCAAAACTACATCAAGATTGAACAAATTTCGATCCAACTAATAACTAATTTATTGAACTAATTAGGCTATCGTTTAACACTTAAACTAACAGAACAAAACACAATCAATTAAAATTAAACTAAACTAAAGAAAATTCAAATCAGTGTGAGATTAAACAAAACCATAACTAATCAGAAATTTAAGAGACTTATTCAATTTTTAAACAGAAGAAGAAGCATAGAGCATAGAAAGATAAAGAGAAAAGACTCACTGGACACTCGACTGACTTTCATATTTTGAAATCAACCAGCTTGGGCAGGAATTGAACTTTAATAACGACGAATTCTCTAAGGGGAAAAACCCAGGGACCATACGGTGTCAAATTGCATGCATTTAGGCATTTAGGGTTTTGGCCGGAGAAAGCTCAAATGGAGATTCGAGTAGTTCCGGCAAGATTTGAGAGACGCGGTTAGAGGGGTTGGGTAGAGGAGGCTTAGGCGGTTCTATGGTGTTAGTTTGATGTCATTTGGACGAGGTAGCGTCGTGGCCAGAAACTTTTGAACGGATATTCGACGAGTTCCAGTAAGAATTGAAAGCAAAGGACAGTGGATTCAGGTAAAGGAGGAGAAGGGGAATCTAGGGTGTATTTTTTGGAGGCAACGGAGTTGGTGGCGTTCGCCGGCGGCGGCGTCGGTGGAGATACAGAGGAGAGGGTACGAGGAAGACGAGGAGTGTTTTTTTAGGGTTTAATTATTCGGACAGTTATATCATTCATCGAGAAAAGACTTGGGTCGTTGGATTAGGGAGGATGAATGGCCCAGATTTTGTGACGCCAAAACGGCGTCGTTTGGTGGGGAAAAGAGACTGGATCGGTTGTAGACGTTTTGAACTGGGCTGGGGCTAGGTTTGGGCTTGGGCGAAATTAATTAACTGGCCCAATTCTGGGCATTACTTAGGCAGCTTTTTTTTGTATTTTATTTATTATATTATATTCTTTTTGTATTTTCTGATTTTGTAAAAAAAATGCAAAAATTAAAATAAAATCCTAAATTATTTCCAACACTAAGCTAATTAATTCCTAAAAATTGATTAAATCCTATTTAAAGTAAAATCAAGACAAATTCAACAATTAACAATTAAAAATGCAAAAATAGACTATTTGTTATTTTCATTATATTTTGTTCTAAAAACAACTTAACCCTTAATGCTAAAATATGAAATTAAATCCTGAATGCAAATGCGTATTTTTTTTTTGTATTTTTCATACGAATTAAAATGCACAGATAAAATGCAACAATTACCAAAAAAATGACACCAAATTCACAAAAATTGTAAAAATAGAGAAAGATCATTTTGTTTGACCAAACATACACACAACCTCAAAAACATCCTACGGACTTACTCGTGTGACCAAATCGCCAAAATAACATCAAAATCTATGAATCAAGCCTCAAAACACATAATTTCTTCCAACTTTTCATAAAACTCAAATTTCTCATTTTTAGTCTGAAACACGTCAAACGACGTCCGATTTCGACCAAATTTTACAAAAAGCGCTTAACGCATATTTAAGACCTGTACCGGGTGCTGGAACCAAAATACGATCCCGATACCTATATTTTCTAGCTCATTTTCATTTCAAATTTTCATATCAAAATTCAGAAAACAATTTCTTTCAAAAATTCTTTACTCGGGCTCGGGACCTCGGATTTCGATTTCGGGAATACGCCCGAGTCCCGTATTTTGCTACGGACCCTCCGAGACCGTCACATCACGGGTCCGGGTCCGTTTTCCCAAAATATTGACCGAAGTCAACTTTAACAATATTAATATCAAAATTCTTCAAATTTTTCACAGAATTCACATATTTCAACATAAAAGCTTTCCGGCTACGCGCCCGGACTGCGCACGCAAATTGAGGCAACTAAAAGCGGGGTTTTCAAGGCCTCGGAAGCACGGAAAAAGGAAGAATTACGGTGATGACCCTTTGGGTCGTCACATCCTCCACCTCTAAAACAACCGTTCGTCCTCGAACGGACAAAAGAAAGAAGTACCTGGGTCGGGGAATAGATGAGGATAACGGCTCCGCATATCAGACTCGGACTCCCAAGTCGATGCCTCAAGAGGCTGACCTCTCCACTGAACACGCACTGAAGGAAAACTCTTCGACCTCAACTGTCAAACCTGCCGATCTAAAATGGCTACCGGCTCCTCCTCATAAGACAGATCCTTGTCCAACTGGACAGTGCTGAAATCTAACACGTGGGCTGGATCGCCGTGATACCTCCGAAGCATGGATACATGAAAAACTGGATGCACGGCTGACAAGCTAGGCGGCAAGGCAAGTCTATAAGCCACCTCTCACACACGATCAAGAATCTCAAATGGGCCAATGAACCTAGGGCTAAAGCTTGCCCTTCTTCCCGAATCTCATCATGCCCTTCATAGGCGATACACGGAGCAATACTCGCTCACCAACCATGAAAGCAACATCTCTGACCTTGCGGTCTGCATAACTCTTCTGCCTGGACTGAGCTGTCCGAAGTCTGTCCTGAATGATCTTGACTTTATCCAAGGCCTCCTGAACTAGATTTGTACCCAATAACCGAGCCTCTCCCGGCTCAAACCATCCCACAGGAGACCGACATCGCCTACCATACAACGCCTCATACGGGGCCATCTGGATGCTGGACTGGTAACTGTTATTGTAGGCAAACTCTGCTAAAGGCAAAACTGGTCCCACGAGCCTCCAAAATCAATAACGCAGGCTCGGAGCATATCCTCAAGAATCTGAATAGTCCTCTCGGACTGACCGTCCGTCTAAGGATGGAATGCTGTGTTCAATGTAACCTGGGTGCCCAACTCCTGCTGGACTGCTCTCCAGAAATGCGAGGTTAACTGCGGACCCCGGTCCGAAATGATAGATATAGGCACCCCATGAAGGCGAACGATCTCCCTAATATAAATCTCAGCTAATCTCTCGGACGAATAGGTGGCGGCAACCGAAACAAAATGCGCTGACTTGGTCAGCCTATCATCAATGACCCATATAGCATCAAACTTCTTCCGAGTTATCGGAAGGCCAGTAACGAAATCCATGGTAATCCTCTCCCACTTCCACTCGGGAAGCTCAATCCTCTGAAATAAACCGTCGGGCCTCTGATGCTCGTACTTAACCTGCTGGCAGTTCAAACAACGGGCCACATATGCAATGATATCTTTCTTCATTCTGCGCCACCAGTAGCGCTGCCTCAAATCCTGATACATCTTCGCGACGCCCGGGTGAATAGAATACCCAGAACTATGGGCCTCCGCTAAGATCAACTCCCGAATACCATTAACATTGGGCACACAAACTCGCCCCTGCAATCTCAATACACCATCATCTCCCAAGGTCATTTTCTTGGCACCTCCACGCTGCACCGTGTCTCTCAGGACACACAAATGGGGATCATCAAACTGTCGCTCCCGGATACGCTCCAACAACAACGATCGAGCGACCGTGCAAGCTAACACCCTGCTAGGCTCAGAAATATCCAACCTCAAAAATCGATTGGCTAAGGCCTGAACGTCCAAAGCAAGCAGTCTCTGGCTGACCGGAATATAAGCAAGGCTACCCATGCTGGCGGACTTCCTACTCAATGCATCGGCCACCACATTGGCCTTCCCTGGGTGGTATAAGATAGAAACATCATAGTCTTTCAGCAACTCCAACCACCTCCTCTGCCTCAAATTCAACTCCTTTTGCTTGAACAAGTACTGAAGGCTCTTGTGATCCGTGCACACCTCACACGTCACACCATATAGATAATGCCTCCAAATCTTCAAAGCATGAACGATGGCCGCCAACTCTAGATCATGGACTGGATAATTCTTCTCGTGGATCTTCAACTGCCTCGAAGCATATGCTATGACTTTGCCATCCTGCATCAATACTGCGCCAGCCCAATACGGGAAGCATCATAATAAACGGTATAAGGCCCTAATCCCGTGGGTAAAACCAATACCGGTGCCGTAGTTAGGGCTGTCTTGAGCCTTTGGAAGCTCGTCTCGCACTCATCTGACCACCTGAACTGGGCACCCTTCTGGGTCAATCTGGTCATCGGGGCTGCAATAGATGAAAACCCCTCCACGAACCGTCGGTAGTAACCTGCTAACCCCAAGAAACTCCGGATCTCTGTAGCTGACGCCGGTCGAGGCCAGTTCTTGACTGCCTCAATCTTCTTCGGGTCCACCTGAATACCCTCTGCTGAAATAACGCGACCCAGGAATGCAACAGAACTCAACCAGAACTCGCACTTCGAGAACTTGGCGTATAACTGACTATCCTTCAGAGTCCGAAGAACCACTCTGAGGTGCTGCTCATGCTCCTCCTGACTGCGGGAGTATATCAAAATATCGTCAATGAAAACAATCACAAACAAATCCAAATAGGGCCTGAACACTCGGTTCATCAACTCCATAAATGCTGCTGGGGCATTGGTCAACCCAAAGGACATGACCAAAAACTCATAATGCCCATACCGAGTGTGAAATGCTATCTTAGGGACATCAGACGCCCTAATCCTCAGCTGATGATAACCAGATCTCAAATCTATCTTCGAGAACACCCTCGCACCCTGAAGCTGGTCGAATAAATCGTCAATCCTCGGCAGTGGATACTTGTTCTTTATCGTCACCTTGTTCAACTGCCGGTAATCAATGCACATCCTCATCGACCCATCCTTTTTCTTCACAAATAACACCGGCGCACCCCAAGGCGACACACTGGGTCTAATGAAACCCTTATCAAGCAAATCCTGAAGCTGCTCCTTTAACTCTTTCAACTCTGGCGGGGCCATGCGATACGGCAGAATGGAAATAGGCTGAGTGCACGGAGCCAAATCAATACAAAAATCGATGTCCCTATCGGGCGGCATGCCCGGCAGGTCTGAAGGGAAAACCTCGTGGAACTCCCGAACAATAGGAACAGAATCAATAGACGGGACCTCAACGCTGGAGTCGCGAACACAAGCCAGATAAGCTAGACACCCCTTCTCGACCATTCGTCGAGCCTTCACGAATGAAATAACGCTGCGAGTGGTATGACTAGGGGTCCCTCTCCACTCTAGTCGGGGCAAATCTGGTAAAGCCAAGGTCACGGTCCTAGCATGGCAATCCAAGATAGCATGATACGGGGACAACCAATCCATCCCTAATATGACGTCGAAATCCACCATATCTAAGAGCAACAAGTCAACACGGGTCTCAAGACCCCTAAATACCACAACACAGGAACGATGAACCCGGTCGGCCACTATAGAACCACCTACCGGTGTAGATACATAAACAGGAATACCCAAGGCATCACTACGCATAACCAAATATGGTGCAAAATAGGACGACACATATGAATACGTAGATCCAGGGCCAAATAGCACTGAAGCATCTCTAATGCAAATCAGAATGGTACCTGTAATGTCTTCATCCGAAGACTCAGCCTCTGGCCTGGCTGCTGGCTGGCCTCTACCTCTGACGGCCTGAACTCCACCTCTAGGACCTCTACCTCCACCTCTATGTCCTCTACCCCCGCCTCTAGCTGGCTGGGCAGGCTGTGGGGCAACTGGTGCCTGCATCATAGGGCGAGGACCCTGCTGCTGAGAACCACCTGAAACTCGAGGGCAAAATCTGACAATGTGCCTCGGATCACCCCAAGCATAGCAAAACCTCGACTGCTGCGGCTGAGCACCCCTCAACCTCGGGCAAACCCTCCTGTAGTGACCATACTCACCACACTCATAACATCTACACAAACGCTGCAACTGAGGAAACTAGGGCTGACCCGGTCGACCTGAACGACCATCTGAAGTACCATGAGTGACAGGGGAAGCTGACTGAAAGGGCCTAGGAGGATGGCCTCTACCATAAGTACCTCTACCTCCAGACAAGGTACCACTGAATCTGCCTGCATGACGGGGCCTCTTATCCGACCTACGACCGCCTCCCTGTGGCAGAACCACCTCAACTCCACGGCCCATATTGGCCGCCTCCTGAAAAGTGACCTCACTCCCGGCCTAAGCCGCTGTACCCGGCTGACCTGCCACAGCTGGCTGAACCCCTGGAAGCAAACCCGCTCGAATGACGCTCTCCACTAAGCCTACCAATCTGACCAAAGCGTCCTGAAGAACTGGGGTGGCTATGATCCCCTCTGGGACCTGAGCTGGGCCCACCGGAGCTGCCGGAGCTGGAACCTCCTCTTCAAAACCTACTTGAGGCTCCGCCTCTGGGACTACTGCTCGTGGCTCGGACTGCTGAGCGGTGGATGAAGAAGCGCGTGTTCTCGCCATCTGTAAAAGAATAGAGTAGAAATTCAACCCGTGTTTAAGAAACGGATACGCGCGACAAGAATGAAAAAAGTGAAATTTTCCTAACTTTATAGCCTCTGGGGGATAAATACAGACGTCTCCGTACCGATCCCTCAGACCCTACCGAGTTTGTCCGTGAGTTGTGAGACCTAAGTAACCTAGGGCTCTGATACCAACTTGTCACGACCCAGATTTTCCACCATCGGGAGTCGTGATGGCGCCTACTGTCGGAGCTAGGAAAGCCAAACATATAAAAACATTCTTGATAATACTCGCAACAATATAATAAATAAAACGAAAATAATTAAATATAGCGGAAGACTTTAAGCTTATATATATGAAAAACAAAATGCGGATGTTCAAAAACATCCTCTACCCAAGACTGGAGTCACTAACTCACGAACATCTACAGAATGCTAATTACAGAGTTTGAATGAAATACAATACTGTCTGCTCCGATACAAGGAGAACAAACGGAAATAGAGATAGAAGAGACTCCGGGCCAGGCGGACGTCTGCAAGGCTACCCCGGTGTCTCCGAACAAAAGGCTCGCCCCCAGACTGCTACTCAAATGCTGCTCCATCACCTGGATTTGTGAAAAAAGATGCACAGAGTGTAGCATCAGCACAACCGACCCCATGTGCAGGTAAGTGCCTGGCCTAACCCCGGCGAAGTAGTGACGAGGCTAGACAGGACTATCACATAAACCTGTGCAGTTATAAATATATATCTACAGCGGGAAGCTAACAATAATAACTGTTTTAAATGGGAAGGGAACATGCTTCGGGGATAGCAGATAATACGGAAATTAAAGAGAATAATAAGGAACATCAATGAATTATCTCTAACACGGATAAGGAGGATAAAAGCAGATTTCACTGTCTGTACACATCTCATTGCAGGCGTACAACCCGATCCCATTTCTCAATGTTTCCGTGGTAGGCGTACCACCCGCTCCCATTTCATTAAATCAACAGTTCTTCCAAATGAAATTTACTCCAAATAATGCAACAGTTCATACGAACTCATAAGATAACAAGTACACAATAATAATGACTCACCAAAGAAAACAAGTAATGACAAGTAACACAATAAAGAAAAATGCCAACATAAGGAAACTCAGTAATAGCGGATTAAAACAACTAATGCACTTGAACTGATAACAACAAGAAAATCAATAAATAGAAGTAGAGGACAACGTAACACAATTATCAGCAAGAACGTCAGGAAAATCAAAGACAAGTGCACGGCATCACCCTTCGTGCTTTTACTCTCGTACTTACCAAAATAATCAAATAAAGTGCACGACATCACCCTTCGTGCTTTCCCTCACATAACTCTCATATCATGGCACGGAATGATCCTTCGTGCAATTATAATCAAATCAGAGCACGGAATGTCCCTTCGTGCATAAATAGTCAAAGCATGGCACGGAATGACCCTTCGTGCAAATATAATCAAAACATGGCACGGAATGACCCTTCGTGCAAATATAATCAAAACATGGCACGGAATGACCCTTCGTGCAAATATAATCAAATCAGAGCACGGAATGTACCTTCGTGCATAAAAAGTCAAACATAGCACGGAATGACCCTTCGTGCAAATATAATCAAGAATAGCACGGAATGACCCTTCGTGCAAATATAATCAAGAATAGCACGGAATGACCCTTCGTGCAATTTCACTCTTCCTCACCCAAATAACAGTCACAACCAAACGGGCAAGAGAAATAAACAAGTAATATGAACTATCCCAGCAAGGGAACAACACAAATAACAACCAAGACCCGGCAAGGGAACAATAACAACATCTTTCACAACCCGGCAAGGGCAATACTCACTGTAATCAAACCATCCCGGCAAGGGATTAATCACACCTCTTTTCTATACGTTCATCTCTTACTCAATGGTATTTAACACTCGAGCCAATGCTCCAAAATATTAATATTTCACAACTTATCCTCAAACTCTTCACAGTTGTAGAAAAACATGTTGTAGCATAGAAGAGTTCCAAATTATCTCAAAAACAAGTACAAACAAAGACCCACGGTCATGCTAGGCTCCGGTGTATAGACACTCGTCACCACGCCTATACACCGTACTCGATCAATTAGCAAATAGCATTTATGATACTCTAATCCTATTCCCTCAAGCCAAAGTTAGATCAAACACTTACCTCGGTCCGAAAATAGCAATCAAGCCTCTAACACCGCCTTTCCTCTAGAATTCGACTCCGAAACAATGATATCTAATCATAATTAATTCAATAATATCAAATGAGGCTCAACAACATAATCCCATAGCCTAGGAATGAATTTCCTACCATTCTTCCAAAA